TCTGACTAGGTCTCTGATGATGGATTCGAGTGTGAATCCGAAAGGTCAGGCTAATAAGGCACTTGTTCTAGTGATCAGATCGGGGTTGTTGCGCGTTGACGTTGTAAGGTGGGCGCGGTTGAGATTTTTTGAGCCTCGCGTTTGGCTTTGGCGGCGGTGATGCGGTTGGTTTCGTAGATCGCCGCACTGTCAGCATTTTCTGCTCAATCTCTCATGGGGTTTGCACGGCTTTGAGAAATCAATAATCTAGAATGCAGATGAATTCCTGTTAACCGTGAAACCAGGCAACTGGCGGCTACGTGGATTGCTGCGCCTATCTTCGCTGTCCTCCTCCAGGTCAGTCGGTCGGTCGAGATCGAGGTCTTCTCAGTCTGCCGGGCTAATCTGCAGATGCCTGGCGGAAGTCTTCACAGTATCTCTATAGCGCCGGACTCGACCTCCTTGTCCACGGGAACCCGTCGCGACGTCTCCGTAGAAGAGTCGTTTGGGCGGCTGCCAGTCATCCTTTCGTACAAGGTGACCGCCCAAGCGCACATGCAGCTATCTCAGGCCGGCGTAGATGCTAAGGATTCCCACCAGTTTCAGTGCGTTAGTATCGCGAATCCGGTCCTGCCATCTCACTTTCAGTGCCCGTCGAAGACAGCTGAGGTGGAAGTGACTGAGTATCCGCGCCTGCTTCTTGTACATCGTCCAGGTCTAAGCTCCTTACATATGCATCGGTAGGATGACTGCCTTGTACATCTTCAGTTTGGTGGCGAGGTGGAGACCGGGGCGATTTCAGATTGTACTTTGCAGACGGCCGAAGTCTTGGCTGCCTTTGGGAATCCGAAGGGCCACTTCCTCTTCGATCTTGGTGGTGCGAGAGAGGGTGCTGTCCAGATAGGAGTTGTGCACAGCTTGAAGTTGGGCGCCAGTCACGTGGAAATCGAATGCATTGTAGGCAGCGTCGGGTGGCGCTTGATGCATGACCACCATATTCTCCGTGTTGATAATCAGACCGAAGTTGTCATAAGCGGCGGTGAAGAGGTCCATGCTCCTTTGCATGTCTCCTTCAGAGGTGGCGTTGGGGGCGTAGTCGTCGTCGACGAAGAGAAGTCTGTGAACGGATGTGCATCCGCCGTCGTCCGGCAGGCGACACACATCGCGGTAGGCGTCCATGAGACTGAAGGGGGTAGGCAGGAGGATACAGCCCTGCTTCACCCTGTTGGTCACTGCAAATGCCTCCGAGACATCTCCGTTGTCCGCAACTCGCATCAGCATGCCATCGTGTAGCTGACGCACCATCTCAGTAAATCGCTGGGAAGAGTCGAGCTTCTGCATGATTCTCCACAGTCCTTCGTGACTTACTGTGCTGAAGGCTTTCGGCAGGTAGAATGCAGGTGAATGCGCATCCCCTGACAGTTATCCTGTAGTTGACGGTTGGCGAAGATCATGTCGGTGGTTCCACTATGACGGCGGAAGCCGCACTGGCTTTCCGATAGAAGGCCCTCTTCTCGATGATTATTCAGGCGGTTTGGGACGATTGGAGCGGAGATAATCCCGACGACGTTCAGCGACTAGATGTCCTGGTGATTGACGCAGAGATGGCAATTTCCGTTTCGATTGTATAGATGCACGATGATTTCGTCTTTGAATTCTGCCGGACTTTGCCTTGACGCCACATCTCCTGGAAGAGCGCAGTCAGGTGATACATGATTTGGAAGCAACCGTGCTTGTAGACCTCAGCAGGGATCGTACCCAATCCGGGTGCTTTCCCGCTGGAGAGCTGCTGCACGGACCTGGTGGTTTCCTGGAAAGAGGGCGGGAGGTCGAAGTCCACGTTGGTCTCCACTTGCTGCAAACGGGCTATGGGGACGTCGGAGATGGTGGAGGGGCGGTTGAAGACGCCTCGGAAGTGCTCGGCCCACCGTTGTTGAATTTGTTCCTTCTCGGTGAGTAGGATACTGCCATCGGCGCTGAGGAGAGGAGCAGTTCCTTTGGCTGTGGGACCGTAGACAGACTTCATCGCGACAAAGAATTCCTTCCTTTCATTGTGATCTACATACCCTTGGATCTCCCCGGTCTTTCGAATCGTCCAGGTTTCCTGCATCTCGCACAGTCGATGTTGCAGGCGGTGGCAACTGCGGTAGAAAGCAGCTCTGTTGTCATGGGTGGGCGGATGACGTAGACATTGTGTCGGCGGTTCTTCTCTGTGAGCAGGTGCTGATGACGGCGTCGTTTTCATCGAACCAGCCCTGGTGTCGTCGACGGGCGCGACCGAGGACGGCCACCTCCGTCGACTGGACTGTGTCCCGCAGTCGATACCAGCGGTTTTCTACGGAGGCATTTTCGTCCGCGGCGGCAAGGGCGGTGGCGAGTGGAAGGCTAATTAGCCGTCGAGCCGGTTCATCGCTGAAATAGAGCTGATGAGCAGGCAAGGATAACCAGGTAATATTCAAATTACCTGGGGGTTCCTACCTTAAGGTCTTCTAAGAGGCTGTAGGCGAATCCGCAACTCCAAGATGATGCGGCGATGGTCGGTTTAACCGTTGGCACCCGGAATCGCCTTTGTTACCAGAACATCCCGCTGGTCTCGCCTCTGGACGAGGACGCAGCCCAGCAGGTGCCAGCGCAGCGACCAAAGGTGCATCCAGGTAGCCTTATCTCGCATTGGGAGGCGAAGTGGATGTTGGTCAGGATGAGGCGTGGTTCTGCGCAAGTTCGAAGAAGGGATACGTCATTGTCGTTGGAGCCGCGGAGACCATGGGGACCCAGCACTCCTCTCCAGGCAGTATGGTCTGTGCCGACGCGGTCGTTGAAGTCACCAAGGACAATCAACTTGTCCGCCTTCGGCACAGTCGCCAAGAGGGCGTGCAGGTCCTCGTAGAATTTGTCTCTTGCGGTGTCGGGGGCTGCTCATCGGCGAAGCGTAGGCGCTGGTGATGGTGGCGAATTTGCCTCCCCAGAGAGGCGAACGGAGGCTCATCAGGCGATCTTTGATGCCCTGCGGCAGACAAGGCAGTCGTCCCACGATGTCATTCCGGATGGCGAAGGCGACGCTCGCGTCTCCTCGCACTGACCTGGGGCGGCTGCCGCAGAAGAAGGTGTGACCGACACCCACCTCCCCCAGTTGGCCTTGTTCGGAGAATCGGGTCTCACCGAGTGCGAATATTTACACCTTAAAGTGCGTCAGTTCCCGGACTACTAGCGCCGTCCTCCGTTCTGGTCGGTTGCTCCGCGGATTGTTTAAAAGGAAACGAACATTCCAGGCTACCAAAGTGAGCGGACTCATTCTAGCTGCCCGTGGGGTGGAGGGACGACAATGAGGATAGGGAGGGAGAGCGAGCAAGAGAATACTGTTTCCCGTTTGATCGTTTTTTTTGCTTAGCAGTCTGCGACCCACAGTCGGGGCGCAGAGGACGTGAATCTCAGCGTTTGTTTAGAGAACCTTTTCTAGCTTCTCTCCCCTCGCGGGGGTGAGCAAAGGTATCTCTAAATAGGGCTGCTCAGACATCCCAGGCGGCTGTCGAACTCCACTACTGGACACGACTTTTGTTTGGTGGGAGAACGACTCGAGTTAGTCTGGTCCGCCTACGTGAGCGCTGTCCCCCTCGCCATAAGATTTATGAAGGAGGGTGGAGAGGGAGGATGTGGGGAGGGTGCAGAGCCAGAAAACAGAGTTTCCCGTACCTCATTAAGCTAAATGATTGCTTAAATATAAACGCCGAAAAGAAAAATTCAACAGTCCGGTACGTAGCTTACAACAAGGACGTGTACAGACAAGCATACATAGGCAAGCAGAGCAATATTTGGC